TACACACACACACAAAGAAAAACAAGTAGATAGAATAGAAAAAACTGAAAGCTAGTTTGTTTGTTTTTTGTTTTTGTTTTCGTTTTTTAAATAAAAATAAAAAAAGATAAATATAGATAAAGTAGAATTAAAATAGAATAGAAAGGGATAGAGTTAGAGGGTCAAATAAAGGAGCGGCATTTTGGATTAATTGTAGAGGTTTGATAGAAGTGGCTGACAAGTATGCTGACAACTTCAGTTTTATAAAATTGCTTAATCTTTTCTGTGTAAAGTTATGTCTATTTATTCATGGCCATGAAAACATGAATAAATTCATAAACCTTAACGGGAAAAAAAATCATTTTATAAAGAAACAACATAATGCCGTTAATTGAGATTAATTTCTATTGAACATAAATCAAATTTATGTAACTGAAAGTAATGGTATAACGTACATCATGATTCTCCCATGTTTATTAATAGACAACTTAACAAAATAAAATGCAATTTACTAGATGTTTTGAGAATTTTATTTTCTGCAGTCTGTTTAAAAAATATATTTTCAAATAATATTTTTTAAAGCTGTGTTTTAAAGTAGTAAAGCAAGTTGGCAACAAACGTACCATTATCATGATGTCAACACTTCCTCCCTCTACGACATCCATTGGGTTTGCGCAGGGGCTTGTACAAAAAATTTCGTCCAGTACATCGTAAAGTGGCCACTTTACATCGGCTGACTGTCCACTAGTTCGAAGTTTGTCTCGTGTGGCCGTATATTTCTTGCGCAATTTCTTCACTTTAACCCAGCATTGCAGAGCGGTCCGGTTAAATCCTCTCTCTTTCAGTTTTGCTGAAAATTGAAGAAACACTTTTGAATTTCTGTGGGTTGTTGACAGTTGTTTTTTTATATAGTCCTCCTTCCAAATTTGTAGAAATGCATCTGTTTCCTTGTCTGTCCATAATATCCCTCTCCCGGCAGCAGCAGCAGTAGCCATGTTTTGAAAAGCTTCTGAGGGGTCTGAGATAGTTTGGAGTGTTCACATATGGGCCAAAAATCACGTGAACCGCGCTCAGACTCCTGAAAAGGACCAAGTGTGAAAACACCCTAAGGCTGTCTACGTTAGACGCAATGAAGCAATTTTTATAAAAAAAAATAAAAATATTGCATTTTTTTTTTTCAGTGTTGGGTAAATACTGGATTTCTGTCAGGACCACTATCGTCAAAGATGACTGACAATTAGCATACAGTTTGGATTGGCTGTATGGTTCTGTTCTGGGCAAGAACTCCCTGCGCATCCATGCAGCCTAGCATGGATGAGAGCAGGGAAAACAGCGATAACACCCCCAGGGTAAACAGAACAGAACCAACATAAATGTATTGCAGATATCGTTAAAGTTCAATAATTTTACGTACACATTTTAGAATTAGTCTGATTCAAAGGAGAATCAGAAGGCTGAATCCTGACTGACAGAGGAGGAGCTGGGGATGGAGGAGGGTAATTAGCTATTGAGCAATGTGAAAACTGCTGATAATACTTAGGACCTTATATATGAATGCTTAGATAGGTGTCGTATTCCTATAGGTAGATGGGGATCAGCTGAGAGTCAGCTGATGCGAGCTTGACTAACATGACCTGCCAGAACTAATGCTTACGCTTGATTTAATGAAAAAAAAAAAAAAAGTGGGGTTCTGTAGAGCTAGGGAGAACACAGGCATCGTTTTGATTATTTTGATCAGTAGCGTGCGTTGAGACACTGTCAGTGGGCTCTGATTCATTGTGGGGTTGGGATTCTGGATGGGTTTTTCCTGTCCACACCCACCTCTACTACCCACCACTTACTGTCACTTCTCTTTTTGTCAGTAAACTGAAGTAAAAAAAAAAATCTCTCAAGGATGTTGAAGAATAACTTGTCTGTCTGTGGTCAAAGTGATGACATATAATCTTACTCAAGATACGTTTCAAATTTTTCAGAATTTATTTTGATTTATTTTTTTCCAGGAAGAAAGAGTGGCCAGTATAAAAAACCCAGTTTTATTTTTTATTTGATTATACCTGAATATATCTTCAATCCAAATGCGTCCAAAAGCAAGTGAAACTGTAAAAACTATTATGTTACTAAATATATGAATCACTGATCAATCAATGGGGTGGACAAAATTTCCAACTGTTTAAGCATATTGGGTTTAATTATCAATAAATGCCATTGGATCATGATGGAAAGCTGTTTAAAGTTGCGTGTGTGGGCAGCACCCAAAAAAGAGGAAGAAATATTTCTGTCTGCATGTTTTTTTTAAAACAAACCATGTTAATAATGTGAAATCTGTTTAACGACTGCTGGAGATCAGACTGCCCAGAACACGGTAAGAGTTAATGTGTCAATATTAATATGTGAATATATGTTTAATATGTGAATATAGTCGGATTAATACTGTTGTACAACCCACTGGCTTATTCAGTATGAAATATTCTCCATGGAAACTGATTTATGGAGATTTTGAAGCTAAAGATTGTGTTTTTCTCATGATGTGTTTGTTACATTGGTCTTGTAGTGGCATTAGTCAGAATGGCTCCTCCTCTTCCTCTGGTGATTCTGCTCATAATTCATGGTGAGTCATTGGATAATTAACAAACCTTACATAGTCACTTATTAAAGGGGTCATATGATGCGATTTCAAGTTTTCCTTTCTCTTTGGAGTGTTACAAGCTGTTCGTGAATAGATAAGATCCCTAAAGTTGCAAAGACTACATTCTCAAATCCAAAGAGATATTCTTTATAAAAGTTAAGACTCGTCCACACCCTCCTAAAATGCCTCGTTTAAACACGCCCCCACATGTCTACGTCACTGTGTGGGAAGATTTGCATAACACCGCCCACATGTTCACGCAAAGAAAGAAGGCGTAACTTTATTGTTGCTGCCGCCACTGCCACCATGTCGTGAAGATGCTGTGTGTTTCGTTGCGAAAGTGAAAATACTTTGTTTGGCCTTCCAAAAGAGGACACTCAGTGAATTCAGTGGTTAAGTTGCATTTACAACACTATTCCAGAACAGTTCAACCCAAATATTCAGATGTGTGCAGCGCATTTTATGGAGGACTTTTATGGAGTTTCCTGATCCTGGTAGAGTAGACTACAATGCCGGCGCTTCTGACTCACAGACTGTAAGTAGGTTTTCATTAAATGTTATTTTCAGCAACATCATATGACCCCATTAAATAAACCTGTTCTTTGTTGCTTTCTTTAGCTGGGGGTCTGCCAATCATTGGACTCCCTGTTGAATCCTCACTGACAAACGTGTGTGTGTGTGTGTGTGTGTGTGTGTTAATCAATAATACAGTATAATGTAAACTGGACCCTTCTCATGTGCTCTATCCAGAATTTGAACCACTTCCATCTAGTAAATTTTTCCTCACTCCCAGGTTTAGATAAATATGCTATAAGAACTCCATTGTTCCTTCAGCTACAAGACTGTTGAATTCTATTGTAAAGAACATGACTGTGTGATTGTTACTGATGTGGTTATCTTGTTACGCAGCTTCATATGTATTGCCCAAAACAAATTTCCCTTAAAATGGACAATAAAATAGCATCAATCAATCAGTAAGTGTTTGGCACAATATGCATATGATGAGCATGAGGGGATAGTATTTATGAAAAAAATATATATTTTGCGTGAGCTATTACGTGTATCCCTTTATGGTTTCAGGTGTTTATGGCCACTGTTGTTGGGATGTTTACAGCCATTCCTACATTTGTTGGTCAACATTCCCAATCTGCCGTTATACTTGTCGATACCCACACATTCACCATCCCATACCACCCAATGTGCTGCCCAATTTTAGATGTAAGTTCTGTGTATATTTTATTTAGTTTGTGTACCTTTTTCTTTGAAGTCTCCAGTGATATAAACGACACTGGTAAAAATATTTGGGCTTTGCTTGTACTTTATGGCAATGACTCTTTCAGTTTCAATTATTGACTTACTCTGGTCTGGAAGATCTTGATCTCATGAAGTTTACATTTACATTTTGAGGCCTTCAATGATGAACTGGTGATTAAAAATAATATTTAAAATATTTATCCTCTAGTGAAACCAGTGATCTTCATCAGTCCATCTGGTGAAATAGTGGAGGGAGATTCAGTGACTCTGATCTGCAGCAGTGATTCAAAACCTCCTGCTCTGAACTTCAGCTGGTTTAGTTTGTAGGATCTGGAAGAATCTACAGCATCTCAAACATCAGCTCTGATCACAGTGGAGAATACAAGTGCAGATCCATCAATGGACATGAAGAGAAATACTCTGCTGCTGTGACTTTAAACGTCATGTGTGAGTTAATAATGGCTCAGTAACTTTGACATTAAATCCTACAAACATAGTCTATGATGTCAAATTTATTGTGATACTTCATGACATTGATGGTTTTTTTTTCTTTGTTAGATCCTCCAAAGAGAGTTTCAGTGTTTATCAGTCGAACGAATGTCTCACGTAGGCTAATCGGTCGATCAATCAGTGTTTCAAAAATCATCGATAAAACAGCCTGTGAATAGTCATAACATTCGTAAGATAACATTGATCTCAGAAAAGCCAACAATATAACTTTTTTTTTTAAATTAAAATTAATTATTATTTTATTTGGCCGTGTCAATGCAGTGTTTGCATGTAATTTAAAAAAATGACACAGTTCTACAACAGAAATATGACAAAGGCACACAAGAAATTAGAGAGCCCTGCACATGACATGCAGAAAATATATTTCTTTATTTCTTTATTTAGGCCATGAATTAAGAATTCATTCTCTCTTTTTAATTAAATGGTCCCCCTCGGTGGGGCCCCAATCAGCCCGAGCCCATATGCACATGCATACCCTGCATACCCAGATGCTACACCCCTGTTATGATACTTAATGACATTGATGTATTTTTCTGTGTTAGATCCTCCAAAGTGCGCCTCAATGTTTATCAGTCCATCTGCTGAAATAGTGGAGGGAGATTCAGTGACTCTGAGCTGCAGCAGTGATTCAAACCCTCCTGCAAAAATCAGCTGGTTTAAAGGAGGAATGTTTGTAAGATCTGGAAGAATCTACAGCATCTCAAACATCAGCTCTGATCACAGTGGAGAATACAAGTGCAAGTCCATCAATGAACATGGAGAGAAATACTCTGATGCTGTGATGCTGAGTGTGATGTGTAAGTGAATGATGATGCAAGAACTGACAATAGATCCACTAGTTCCAGTTTGTTTTATCACTGTTGATGAGATGTTTAATTCTTTCTATTTTAGATGCTCCAAGAAATGTTGTGGTGTCCATAACTGGATCTGGAGAAATATTGGAGGGAGATTCAGTGACTCTGAGCTGCAGCAGTGATTCAAACCCTCCTGCTCTGAACTTCAGCTGGTTTAAGGAGAATCAAAGCTCAGCTGTTGGATCTGGACAGAGTTTCAGTGCACTACAGAGTGGACGCTTCTACTGTGAGGCTCACAATCAACATGGATCTCAGAGATCAGACGCTGTTACTGTCACAGGTGAAGCTTTTATTAACACACTCCTGTATCTTCACATCAATCATCTGTTTGTTAATTATGATGATCTTCATTCTTTCAGTTCATCCTGGTGCTGATAGGAATGTGATTGTGATCGCAGCAACATCTGGAGGAGTATTATTCATGATCATCATCGTACTATTTATAATGTAAATGTAATAATAAATATAATTTAAATATCTTATTTTAAGCTAATGTAAAAAAGGATATTTGATTATTCATTATTTATGAACCAATTCAATTACTTATGCTTCCCTTTTTGACAGACATAGAAAACTGATGAATAGAAGATCTGCTATACATGAGTATGAGGTGAGATGATCAAAGAACCACAGAATAAAATCAGTTAAATAATACAAATTAGCATTTTCCTGCATGCAGAGATGTGTGTGTGTGAGTGTGTGCATCTTTCTTTCTGTTTCCCTGTAGAATGATGTTCCCTGTTCCTCATATACAGCTCTTGATCCCAGGACCAGATCTTCAGACCAGTACAACACAATCACAATAAGTGAAATCTCAAAAACTACAGTACATCTGCAAAACATTGTTAATTGTGAGACTATAATGAAACAAAAATAATTTTGAATTACAAAAATTATGACGAAAATCTATTGACATTTTCGTCAACGAATAAAATCGAGATGAAAATGTTAGGGAGGGGCATTTTGGAAAGAGATCCAGTCAGAACGAATCTCCTGCATGGTTGGGAGGTTAGAAGAGCACATTCGAGGTGTACTCAGGCCTGGCGCCACGAGGGGGCAAAAGAGCGCATTGCCCCCTCAGATCTGATTTGTGCTCCCCCGGGTTCAGTTTATCACAACTGTTCAGTGTTTTGAACCACATAAAGTTTATTTTAGGTTTCAGACATTTACATATACATTTAAATTAAGTACTAGCAAAAATACATTTATAGTTTGTTAAATACACACTCATGTCTATGGAAAGTGAAAATAATCATGCTTTCAATTTGACTAACGTGTTTTATTCATATAAAATACACAATGTGTCAATAAAGTTCGCTCTATCCTTCTCCCAGTTCATTGGCCACTTACTTTCTTGTATCTAGGAGAAATGGGTGAATTTACATGATGTTAATCTGACAGATCTGATTCTCTGAATTGCGGTGCAAACATGGCAGTGTCCAGCAAAAGCGCGATGCTTCAAAGGGTTAAAATCGATCAAGTAAACTAAGCTAGACTAAAACTAAAACAATTCAGATGACTAAAATATAGCTAAAACCAAATGGCAGACTCAAACTAAATCAAAATTAACACTGCTGCAAACAAGTTTGTGCATTCAAAAGTCAGGTAATAAATATGTTTGTCACATAGACTGTCCATCCCAGACCTGCTGTTCACCAGTCAGGCTCTTCGGAATAAGAATCTGACAGTAAGTTCCCTATCGATACTTCACTCGTACTGTGTCGCTAAGACACTATGGGGGAAAACTCCTTTTTCTCCGATGACTGAAGCCTTTTTTGAATAACGCAGTGTAACTGCATGGCCATTGGTTTGTGCTGTGATATAAAAAATCGAACCAATGGCTCGGCAGCGGAGCGAATGGGCGGGACCATCTGGCTATATAAGCCATAGGATCCTCAGACTTCCAGATTTCGACGACGATCTTCGCTAATCTATGGGACTCAAAGCTGCTCACCATAGAAACGCCTCGCAGCGGAGTAGTGAGTACGTTGCCTGTCTGGGCAGCCCCCACACAGAGAGACGGAATGCTCTCATTAAGAGCATGAGTCCCGCCCTTCTCCACACGTGCCCCGCCTTCTTCAATGAAGGCGGCCCCGCCCCGCCCCGTGAGGGATAATAAAGCAAGGTTATACACTTCAGTTCGCTCAAAGACCCCTGTGATTCTGCGACATGGTTCCCACCTTGGTTCGGATGGCAAAGACGCAAATGTCCTGTGCTCCGAGGTGATGAATTTACTGGCGAAAGAAATGGTTTCCCAGATCAGAGCGAGTCAGGCTTCTACAACCGCTACTTCCTCATCCCCATAAAGTATGGCGGCTTATGGCCCATCCTCCGTCTCAGACACCTGAACCACGCCCTCATGAATCGGCCGTTCAGGATGACTACTTTGAAACAGATCCTCTCGCAAGTATGCCCAGGGGACTGGTTATTTTTCTTGGACCTGAAAGATGCGTACTTTTACATCCAGATAGCCCCCCATCACAGACGATTTGCCTTTGAGTGAGTGACATATCAATACATGGTCTTTCCATTCTGACTGTCCTTGGCTCCCTGCACTTTTTACGAAGTGCATGGACGTGTGAGTGGAGTGCAGAGTGGAATCCGTATTCTGAATTACCTCGATGACTGGCTCGTCTTAGCCCAGTCAGAGGACGAGCTACTATCTCACAGATCCTTTTTCCTCAGCCACTTAGAATGCCTGGGGGTCATGGTCAATTTTGCCAAGAACGCTCTGTCTCCTAGCCAACAGATATCGTTCCTGGGAGCAGTTTTTGACTCGGCCCAAATAAGGGCGACAATCACGCCAGAACGTGCACTGGCAATTCAGCAGCTCGCGGCCTCTTTCAAAATAGGAGCCTCTCGCCCCCTCAAGACATTTCAAAAGATGCTGGGTCTCATGGCCTCTGCATCTCTGATGCTACAGCTGGGCCTGCTTTGCATGCGGCCCCTTTAGTACTGGCTGAAACCGCTAGTTCCGTCCCATGCCTGGCGCCTCGGATGCCTTCGTATCAGGTTGGACCAGGCCTGTGTGGCAGCTCTGGGCCCTTGAAAAGATTCTCAGTGGATGGAACAGGGTGTACCCCTGGGAATGGTCGGCAGAAGGAAGGTAGTCTCGACAGATGCTTCCAACACAGGTTGGGGACAGGGTTGTAGCTAAACTCTGCAGGGCATCGGCACTCCAGGACCGACGTTGCCTACCCCTGCTCTAGCATAACATGGAGGGAATGTACTGGTTCCCCATAGCGTCTTAGTGACGCATATGAGTGAAGTATCGATAGGGAATGTACTTGGTTACTAACGTAACCTCGGTTCCCTGAGATACAGGAACGAGTACTGCGTAACTAGCCGTGCTACGCAGCTGCACGACTCAGTCGTCGCTTCAGTCGAAGTAACCTGAGGATCCAATGGCAACAGGCCCGCTTATATAAGACAGATGGTCCCGCCCATTCTGGCGGGCTCCATCGCCATAGGCTCGTGCAGCTCTTTTTTATATCACTGCACGAACCAATGGCCGTGCAGTTACACTGCATTATTAAAAAAAGGCTTCAGTCATCGGAGAAAAAGGAGATTTCCCCCATATAGCATCTTAGCGACGCAGTACTCGTTCCCGTATCTAAGGGAACCGAGGTTACATTAGTAACCGAGTACGTTTTCAGTATAATCAATAAAGAAAAACTGTCCTCATTGCTACTCAATAGATACTGAACAGCACTTTCACTCAGTTAAGCTAGACTAGCAGGGTGATTTCACCAATAAATTCAGTTCTGTGTAAATGTGCTTCACTTGTCTTATTTCTGTTGTAGCCACGTATGGAGACACCATGGTAAGATGAAGCACAAGTTAAACTTTACTCCACTTTTGTGGTGTCGCTGAACACCCACATCACAACTCCTGATGAACAGCTTTTGCATGATTATTTACATGTGCGGCCATAGCATGCAATCAATGTTATCTATTTTTTTTTTTTTTCTGTGAGTTGTTGCAAGAATGTTTTTAGACATTTTATCTATGTAATAAAGGGTTGATGTGACTGTAATTTCCCACTATTCCTTTTTAAATAGAACTTAAAATGCTAAAATCCAAAGACCATTGTCAACATTCTCTTTCAAATCTGTAGTTTAGTGTGCATATCGAACTGGCCAAGTTTCGTGATTTCAGCAAGCATCATTTTATGTCATTCAATGTCACTTTTTTAATTCTGATACTTTGATGCTAAAATGAAATGATCACAGCAAAATCCTGAACTGAAAAATGTTGTGGGTTTTGTTAGTAGTGTACAAGATGTTTACATGTATACCGTTTATATCTTTATATCCATGGATATTTGTTGTATGTATATGAATATTGATGCTGTATGTTTTTTGAATTAGATAATTTGATGTAGTTTAGATATATTGAAACCTTAGTGATTTTTTTCTATGATTGTTAGATAATGAGGAACTTGACTGTTGTATGTGCAGTAATGCATTGATGTTTGATGTTTTATATTTGAAACTGATGTTTAATATTGTTGTTCTCCTTTTGTAATAACCACACCTTGTTCCACATGTTGAGCCATCAATAAAGGAAATCAATGGAATTTTGTGCATTCTTATCGATGCCCCACAGTGATTAGACTTTTTACCAACATTCATGAAACATTCATTACAATATATAAATAAGATACAAACCAAAAGTGAACCAAGATAGCATAGGTACGTCTGCAAGATGTCTGTTAAAGATTGATTAATCTGGAAAGCATCTGATGTGTACAAACATCTGATAGACGGCTTTAAGATGTCAGTTTTGCATACACTCTAAATCATAAACATCTTAAAGACATTTCCTAAATGTCTGTTTGACATCAGATAGGAAACGTCAGATGTATTGCAGATGAGCAAACACTCTAGTCAGTCTTGCAGATGTAAATGCAGACGTCAAACAGACATCTCTGTGATTCACGTGTGCTATCAGGAAACTTGAGTGTACAATAAAACCTAATATCGAATTAGGAAACAATTTTTTAACTACTTTATATGGAAACTATAGGATACATAAAACAAATATATTCATAAAATATCATACTTGCATATTAAATTCAACATACTCTGCAAGTATTCAGAATAGTGAATTTAATCATATTGTGGACTGCTCTTCTATTAAATTGCTTTGTATTATTCACCTTGGTTCGAGTCTTTCCTTTGCATTTAAACACATCTGACCAGCAGATGTCCTCAGCGTGCGGTGTTAAGGCCCCGAAATACTCAAAACGAAGTTCCTTTTTGTTCTTCGTTTAGGGGTAAATTGAAGTTCGAAATACGTGAGCAGTAGTCAACATTTGAAGTGGATCAAAACATTTCATCGAAGTTCTCCTAATGCCTAAACCCAAAATGCGTTCTTGTATTAGGACAATTTTAATGAACTTTTTTGATCCACTTCAAATGTTGACTACTGTACTGTTGGTGAACATCCCGACGCTGCCCACTCTGATGAAAGCAACGTTTATATGAATATGTAAATATGTGCTGCGTGCTTTCCTCTCAGTAACAAAATACTATATATATATATAAATCTGATCATAGCAACATGGGTATGTTTGCACAAGCTCTGCAAATTAGCACTCCCGTGAAGTCATGTCACTTTATTCAATATATTGCTTAAAAGCAAGCAGCAGTAATTTCATCAAAACCAAAACTTAATTTGCTTCTTTAAAGCGGCTATCCACTGCGCGAACATCTCACCTCCAAGGACTCAACAGGCGAAATGAACCCAGAGAAGAGTCCTGCGAGAAAGAAGGTGGAGCCTCAGCGCACACCTCCTATGACTTAATCATCACGGACCAATGGTAGTACGAAGGTGTTTTGCAGCCGGAACGAATTTTTCCTGAAAGTTCGATTTGGCAAGCCATATCAAACTCCCAAAACAAACACAAATCGAACTTTTCTGTACGAGATGTTTTCCGTTCGAGATGACGTCACATCAGTTTGTTCTTCGATTTCGCTTGAAGTATATCGAGGCCTTTAGAAACAGTGAATCATTTTGAGAACAAATTGATTTGAATGTGTAGAAATGTTCTCACATCACTACCGTTATCAATGAAGATTCATTTTTTATTGATCATACCTGACCACCTATTTTAGTGTTTCAATATCAACATTGACTGCCACAAATAGATTTCCCTTTTCCTGTTACATTTTTATTTTACTATTTAAAATGGGTAAATCTTACTTCAGTGTAGAGCTGAAGTTGAGCCGTTGACTGGCTCAGCACGTCTCACTCATTACGGTGAACGAATTCAAACATGGGGGTGTTTCTCAATGTGCGTTCCTCTGGGTATAGAGTGGTGGAATCACGTTTTATTCTACGACATAAAACACACCGGTTACACCCCACTCTTGATTTTTTTAAAGTGTAACGTTTCTTAAAAAAGACGGTTGCTAACAAGTTGCTAAATGGGACTACAGGCGCTGTCGGAGACATTCGACGTCATTACACTGAACAGTTTATCAATTGACAGTATTTTCCAGTCGTAGTATAATTTGTAATACAATTAATTGTAGAATAACCAATTAATAGTTTCCCGCATTTTATATTGTTGTTCAACAATGTTTTTTTGTTTTGCCCCGAAATGCAACACAAGTGGATGGAAGATGCTTGTTTTATCGTTTTCCTGCTGATGCAGAGACTCTGGGTTCGTAAGGTAAACTCATATTATGATTATTCCATGTAAACACCACATTTACCGGCTTAGTCACGGGGAAAGTGAAACTTTAACGATGCATAGTGCTTAAAGCCACGTTAAAATTTTATGTTTACGGCCACGTGAAGCTGTTAGAAAGCATATGAGGATTTTCTAGAAGTAAGGATAAAATAACGTTGTGTACCCAGCCTAACAAAGCTGAAATGTGGTACTTTATTCACTAAAATAAGTTTAATCTTACCATATCCAAAAACTCGCTCACTCTGCTGTTATTTAATATATTAAATGCACTTACAGAGTAAATCCTTTTCACTGAAATTGTTAAAAATAAGTTTGAAAAGTTGTCGGGAGCATGGTGGAGGTGACGTTGAAGGCGAGCGACCGTGATGCTGTAGTTCGTTTGTAACCTAAGTTTAGCTTTTAAGTTCTGGCACTTTTATTTAGGCTTGAAAATTCATCAAAGTTACATTATTTTGTGAAGATTATCTTGATGGACAAAACGTGTAAGTTTCATGAACTATGGTTGAACACAGAGCTTATTTTTTGCGATAATCCAAAAGCCTATGGAAAAATCCTATAGGCATTTTGACGAGGGAACCAGTGTGATGCTAACAGCCGATCCGCCTACAAAGTGACGTCATAGTTCCCCCACTCTATTTTTCGCAGTATGTATACGCCGATACTACCAGCTTTCTCTCTCTTCTCTGACAGCACACCGCAGTGTAATGACAACATTTATAAAAATGTTGTCCAACCAAATACACATTTAATAACATATTTTTACTTCAAACTCACTTCATAACGTCAGTCAAGTGTTTGAAATAACTTCCTTTTGTGATCCGTTGTGGCTACTTATTAAAGAATCATTATTAATCGCCCTCTGGCTTCCAGTGAATGAATCATACATCACATGAGTGTACTCATTAATGGTCACACCACCCTATTTTGGGTAAAAATCGGAAAAATAACACTCAATTTATGGTTTTTCACTGTAAATTATACATTCTTTTTCCACTTCCAAAATCTTACTGCACTTACGTCACCCCTCGCCTCACTGTGGCGACACCTGCCTACTGACGTCTTTCAATATGTCGTTTGGCATCTTAAAGGTGCAGTAGGAGATCTTGGAAAATGCTAACTTTAGCCTGATAGCACTGAAAGCGTACGACCCACCCTCCATGCAAATCGCCGACCAAAGCCACGCCTCCTGAACCCATGAACGCGCACAGACCAGACGACCAGAGACAACATTACTAGAATACATCATGTGTCATTCACTGGTGAAAAAACTTTATAGTACAGTTAGTAACAGTATACTAAGGAAGGAAGGAAGGTCAGGTTGTTGATGTCCTGCCACTCTCGCGCTGTCTGCACAGCGTACATGAACACGCTGATGACTTATCCTGTCTGCGCGAACAGGGTGCGCAGAGGTATGCTAATAGATATGTTGACAGGCAGGTAGGAAAGCCTATCATAATGTTTGGACCGAACATTTTGATTGGATGAACATTTCTTGGTCCTTCGCCTTCCACAGAATATAAATACATATAAATACATTTAGACCACTTAATAACTGCTATTGGTATGTGAAGAGACTTTCAACCAGCGTAACAAAAATCACCTTTTGAATCCTTATATATATATAAGCAGTCATAACATAAGTCATCCAAACAAATGCCTTTTGATATGAATTGATAGTTTTCTCCAGGTATTACATTCACAGTTAAACAGTATCAGGAAAATCTGCCTTCAGATGTATGAGCGTCTGTCCATCTCTCATGAGGGTCACATGATCACACAGTAAACAACACTAGAAAGATGCTGCTGTGAGTTTGCACATGGCTTGTTTTCTCACATCTGTGGTTGCTACAGTGGAACTGCATTTATGGCCATATTTAGAGGTTCAAAATATAACAGGAGACAACAGAGAAGTGATACAAGGCCAGAGTCAGAATAAAAAGCTTAGAAGATCTCATATGGTGCAGGAGGATGCAACTTAAATATTCTTTTACTCTGTTAATTCTTGAGCAGTTCTTATGAAATTATGTATTTTCTTGTTTCCCCAGGATAAGATTAGATATGCATATGTAAGTTTGAAAACATAATAAGCATGGACTGACAAAGTTTCTCAGCTAGTTTTTTTTTTTGTTTTCTTCTTCATAAAGATAAAGTTTACACCTAGTGTGTGATGTCGGTCTCATGTCATCTCTGTGCTGGTTGCCATGTTTAGTCTCTACTTCTGCTATATCTGTACTATGTGAAGTGTTATATCCTCCTGCTAAAATATAAGGTGTTGACTACATAAAAACCCCATTGCTGGTCTCATCCTGATCATGTGTAGTGCTGTCACCGGTCAGGAGTTTTGGTTAAACGGGTAAGAACATGATTTTATAATCATTCTGTAGACTGATTATCATCAAATGTGTGTATGTGTGTGTGTGTGGTGTAGGGGAGATTGGGGCTAGTTGTCACACAGGGACGTTCCCATTAACGAAGTTTAAGGTCAAAAGTCCAAGTGTTTCTCTATGTTGTTTGCAAACACCTATTCAAAAATGTTTTAGATTAAAATACTTTTTGTAAATTCTGCCCTCCAAGTAGTTAAAATTCCAGTAATACTTTCACTGGAGTAAAAAAGGGAAAATTAGCCCCAGTATATACATATGATAAAAGGAACTATACATCTGTGTTATTCTATCTTTTTTTTTTTTTTTTTTTTAAGTATTCCTGTAGCTCAAAAAGTAGAGCAAGGTGCTAGCAACGCTAAGGTCATGGGTTTAATTTCCATAGAATGCATGAACTGATAAAAATGCAATGCAAGTTATTTTGAATGAAAGCATCTACCAAGTGCATGCATGAAAGTAGATGAAATGTTGTTGATTAAGTAAATACAATTGTAGTTAACTTTTAAAATCTTTACCTGGTGATTAGATGTGGTTTTTAATACATATACCGTAAGCCCGTTGTAAGCACTGGCATATGTTGTGTTTTGGGTGTTGGTTTGACCACCAAGTTTATTCTGTAGCTTAAGCCACAAGACTATCTTGGTCCACAGCCACAGATGGAGCTAGATTTACACTAGCCAGAAAGAGGAAGTTAAAGGCTTGTGTGCTTAACTATAGTTTAACTGCACAGCAACCAGTCGCAAAAAATCCTAAACCTCAATAAACACAAGCATCTTAACAGACAATGAACTAACTGTAATAGTTAGATGTTTACTTGGTATTGTCCTATAAAATATTACAACGTTACATAAGAATATTACAAAAACATACTGTAAAACTGTACATTTATTTGTAGGTGTTGCTATGATGATGTCAGTCAGAATGGCTCCTCTTCTTCCTCTGATCATTCTGATTATGATTCACAGTGAGTGACTGCAACACTTCAGAAACACTTGAGAGAGAAAGAGAGAGTTGCTTTGACAAAGGATGTCAATTTGTTCAAAATTAATTCTGTGTTTCAGGGGTTTCTGGTGCTGGTTGGGGTGTGAGTTACAGTCATTCACACATCTGTGCACTAAAGAACTCATCAGTGATAATGAGCTGCACTTATCAATACCCTACTGAATATCAGATCATGAAAGTGTTCTGGACCAAAAACTCTGTAATGGGTGAAGAGTCTCCAGATCTGTCTGAGGATCCTGAATACAGTCAGAGGCTTCAGTGTGCTCTACATGGACACAGTTACACCTCTCCTGCTGCTCAGCTCAGTGTCACGTGTGAGTACTGATTCATTTTTTTTTTTTTTATAACTTGTTGAGTTTATGTTTTTTGGAACTACACATTTAATTTGTGTCCCCTTTAGATGCACCCAGGAGCGTTTCAGTGTCCATCAGTCCATCTGTTGTAATAGTGGAGGGAGATTCAGTGACTCTGAGCTGCAGCAGTGACTCAAACCCTCCTGCAGAAATCAGCTGGTTTAAAGGAGGAAGGTTTGTAGGATCTGGAAGAATCTACAGCATCTCAAACATCAGCTCTGATCACAGTGGAGAATACAAGTGCAAGTCCAGAAATGAACATGGAGAGAAATACTCTGATGCTTTGACTTTAAACATCATGTGTAAGTTAATGATGATTAAGCAACTGTGATGTCAAATTTGTATTGTGGTTGTAAATTATAAATATAAATGTTTTTGTTTGTTTGTTTGTTTGTTTGTTTGTTTGTTCTGTTTCAGATCCTCCCAGGAGCGTCTCAGTGTTCATAACTGGATCTGGTGAAATAGTGGAGGGAGATTCAGTGACTCTGAGCTGCAGCAGTGATTCAAACCCTCCTGCTCTGAACTTCAGCTGGTTTAAGGAGAATCAAAGCTCAGCTGTTGGATCTGGACAGAGTTTCAGTGCACTACAGAGTGGACGCTTCTACTGTGAGGCTCACAATCAACATGGATCTCAGAGATCAGATGCTGTTACTGTCACTGTTAAAGGTAGAGCAGCTCATTTACTTGCATGATTCCTTCTAAAGTGAAGCAAATTAATCTGTTCAGATGTTTTACTCTTTTGTCTCTGTTGTAGGACGTCTGGTGATATTGCACATATCCATTGGAGTGGTTAGTGGAGCTGCAGTTATCATTACAATGCTTATTTGGTAAGACGTGTGTAATTTACAGGTATAACCTTCGGTAAAGGAAACAATTAGTTGTAAGGGTAACTTTTGGTTATATTAATATTGTAATATAAGGGTAATATTGTTGGAAAATCTTAGGAATAAAATGTAATTGGTATTGACCAATTAAATATTATCACATAAGAAATTCAAGTCCAATATTGTTATAATACAATATATTAATTATCTACTCTTTTATTTAACACATTCATTGTTTTTAAGGAGAAGCAGGATAAAAAAGAGAAAAGACACACTTGAAACTCAGGTGAGAAAAATCAGTTTTGTAATCAATAGTCTCATCAATAAATAAGAGTTCTGACTTTATATAGTGAGTTTATAAGCATTGGTTATTTATTTTGTCTCTACTTTTATCTCGATTTCTTTAATGTCAAAGATTAATCATTCCAGACCTGATCATGACAGATGCACAGCATCTAATGTTGAGTTGACTGAACCTTTATATGAGAATGTAACGGTAAGTTGTTGTTATAGTCTGTTGATGTGAACGCTAATGTAATTATTATTATTATTATAGGTGACCTAATAGTTCTTGTATGTTGATACATTTTTTAATTAAATTTTCTCTCTATTCTGTTTTTTTTTTTCTTTAATGGCAAAGATGAATCATTCCAGACCTTGTGATGTTGAGATGACTGAACCTGTGTATGAGAATACAATGGTAAGTGTTTTCACTCATTACCTAGAATATCAAATGTCTATTCACTAAGGATATGGTGCAGACAATATAATTTACTTTTCAAGATCAAGTAATTCAAGTCCTTTTATACTGACCAGGAATTTGAAGTGCATTATTTATTAGCTTATTAATTTACTTTCAGCATGACAAGCCGTAGTGTTTGGGACACGTGGCAAAACAATTCACAGCCTTTTTCGTCTCTCTGTGGGTGGAGCCCTGAATGATTGACAGTAGTGTCTTGATTTACAGAAATGAATTTACCAATTGGTTTTATCCAGAGACACTTGCATATGATGAGCCTTAAAGGTGCTGTAATTTTATTTGAGTGTACTAAAGCATAAAAATACCATATGAATTGGTATGAAAACTTCATTTACAACAAACAAAAAGTGCATCTAAAAACTAATATAATCATGTAAAATCTCATTGTATGTAGAGTTTTACATATTCTGCCTTTTCAGTGTATTTAAAGATTGTATATTGCCCTTTTAATAAATTGTATTGTAGTACTGCAGCTTGTGTTTTCAGTCTTTCCTTTGTATTTACATGCGTTTGACCAGCAGATGTCCTCAGCATCCTCAGGTGTTCAGAACATTGGCTGTGTCCGAAATCGCATACTCTCTAGAATAGGTATTTTTTTGAATAAGTCATTACTTCGGGGCTGCAGAAAGAGTACGTTCTATATAGTATGAATGTGTTTAGTATGAATGTAATCTGGATGTGCTACATTTGCTACGTTGTCCATCATATGCACACTTCCGAATCATGCCTGAAGTAGTAGGTCATCCCGGTGTTTTTTGCCTACTCTTTTATGAGTACTGTGATTTCGGACATACTACTTTTTTCACATACAGTTTTTCGCCTACTATATAGTAGGTAAGTATATGATTTCGGATGCAGCCAGTGTATTGTAGTTGATTAAATTCAGAAAACTTCCTTTCTCACGTCACTAGTCTAATTATAATGAATCAATGAAACAATCCAGCGCTCAGCGCCCTCTATAGGAGAAACTTCAGCTACACTACTCTTGAGTCACACAAATGTTTCCTCATCAACTACATCTTCAAAGGCTCGTACTTCCTGGATTGCATGCTTCAGTCAGAGAAACAAATGCCATTTGATATGAATGGATAGTTTTCTCCAAGTATTACATTCAAAGTGCAACAATATCAGCAAAATCTGCCTTCCTACAGATGACAGAGCAACAGGTCTGTGACGTCCGCACTCGTCTGTCCATCTCTTATTCGGGTCACGCGATCACACAGTCAACAACAATGGAGACAGAAGGCTTGTTCGAGATGAACAACACTAGCCTGCCACCGGCTGGCGAGATCTTCCAGTTGCAGGCTGGGGAGGAGTAAAGAGACGGCCATCAGGTCGGGCAGACCACGCGATTTTTACGTTGATTGTAGCTGAAGACGTGGATGCGATTGAAATTCCCATGTTTTTGCATGAAAATCTTTATGTACAGCAAAGGTGATATTTAAATATTGTTAAGTTGTATCCTTGTCCTTGTCATCGCAGAATCTGACCAATGAGAATAAAGTGTGTCGTCATCAAGGCTTTCACAGCCGATTTTGAACAACTGAAACACCTGACCGAGGCGGCTGGTCTCGTTTTGCTCTCGCGGTACTTTGATGGCACATGTGATCGTAAGGCGGCTACAGCGCCGATCAAAGTCGGACAAATGTTCTAACCGGAATGCATCACTTTTGCCAGGCGGCAGCCGATCTTTGCGGCGCCGCATGAAGTCGAACTAGCCTAATGATTCGCTAAGTCCGAAATCCCATACTTCCCTACTATATAGTATGTGAGCCGAGTAGTATGTCCGAATTCATAGTATTCCAAAAACGGTAGGCAAGAAGAAGTACCTGGATAACCTACTACTTCCGGCTTGATTCTGAAGTGTACATTCAATGGACAGTTTACTCTCCCAGGAGGCCACGGGAGAGAATTTATGAATGGAAGTGAAGCGACGCAACATGAATCACGTGACAGTAGCAACATGGCGGATGTAGAACGTCCGAATTGTATTCATACTACCCTCATTCATACTATATAGAACACACTTTTAAATTCAAATTCAAATGTAGTACCTACTCAGACAGTATGCGATTTCGGACGCACCGACTGTCTTACTATAGGGAGATGAAAGGGTCTGTATTACTTACTTTTGGAGAAAGCGTAACAGTCAACTTGGATCACGTGCACCTTAATAACCAATCACATTACAGCCTTGATGTCATCGAATTTCAGTCAGAGTTCGGCGACTGAGTGTAGCACTTTACGGATACCATAGGAATGCATGAGAATTGCCGTAAGCTGAATCCCACCTGTCGCAAAAAGTCAGTGACTTCTCTTATAAAACTGAATTTTTTTTGGTGTAAACTCTAAAAATTGTTCAATCCAATAGTATTGTTTAATGTAAAACATATTGAAGATTATCTGATAGACTGTTGATTCATTAAATGATCAGCTGTTTCCTCTAAAAAGCTGTTTATTCAGCGTAGTGAAGCATCTCCTCCATTGACATCCATACATAAAAAAAAAAAAAATGGCCTCTGGTCTCTTTTCCCACGTACTGGCAAAGTGAAAGCGATAGCATTAGCCGTTATGCTTTTTTGGCTAAGGGTTGCAGGCTTGCCTTCTAGTGGCTTTGCTGGAGAGGTGCTGCTGTGAGTTTTTTTTTTTTTTTTTCACCTCTTCCACAGTCAGAGTAAAAAGCTTAGAAGATCTCATATGATAAAAACCAACATGAAAGCAACTTCTGAATTGTATTAGTCTATTAATTACTGATAAGTTTTTATTCTTCATTTTATTACCAAATTCCTATTAATTAGACAAGGTATATCAAATGCATAATTAATCATTTGCTTGGTTCCTCAGGAACAGACTAAATATGCATCAGATTTGAAAACATAATAAGCATCTCTGCGCACTGATGTAAAGTTGCTTTCAGTAGAACTTTTACTTTTTGATCTAATGCTGCGCATGTAATGTTGCCCTGTTTCCTTGTTAAAACCTTTCTGCTATGCTGTGAAGTGTCACATCTTCATTTTTAAAACGTGTTAAACACGTTATTTAGTGTGAAAACAGCAATACTGGCCTCATCCTGATCATTTGCAGTTTTGTCACTGGTCATTAACATTGGTGAAACGGGTAAGAGCATTATTTAATAATCACTGTTTAACTGTATCACTTTAACTGTAGTAAAACCATGGTTAATTTTCGTAAAGGGCCACACATGGCAGATGTCACATTGCTGTATATGCAATCATCGCATGCCAATGTGCATTGGCTTGTTTAGTTTACACTCGAAGTGGATTGGTCTCTCTAAGTGAGATCCCAATTTGTCGGTCACCGACGTGACGTCTCCGTTCCCTCCTTCAGGGAATGAGGGTTACATACGTAACCGAGACGTTACTTGTCTGTTTCTGTTTCTTTCTTTTTTTCTTTAATGGCAAAGATAAACCAGTCCAGACCTCATCACAACAGACTACTGCAATTTGGTTAACTTTGCTGAGACTGTTAGCATCTACTACTACAATCCATGTACAGGAGGATGCTTTCGAAAAAAAAAAAAAAGAAAATGCAATTTTTTTAGACTGACAAGTCTAAGTTGTTAAATATCAACCAGAAATCATAAGTGTGTTATTTATCAATGTATTAATGATCCAATTATTTCAATTTTCTTTCAACTTGACAAGAAGAAGCCATAGTATTTGGGATGCAAGACAAACCATTTTACTGCCTCTGTGGGTGGAGTCCTGAATGATTGACAGCAGTGTCATGATTTACATTTATTTATTCAGCAGATTCTTTTGTCCAACGTGACTTACAAATGATGACCTTCTCAACCAAAAAAATAAAAAATAAATAAAATGCTAAATGCTACACTATGTTAAATTTAAATATAAGCTAGATTAATACACAAGCTAGAGCAGATGTGAAGTGCTGAAAAGATGGGGGAGAAGTTGAAGACTTGTGTAAAGTAATGTGTGAATTATTTTATACAGAGGTCAATGAAGATGGAAGGGAAAATATCATGAATTGATAAGAAGTGTTTTTTATTTATATTTTGTATAATATAGTTTGTTTGTGTTACAGTGTTTTAGCCTTTAGTCTAATTGTTCATGTTTTAATGGCAGAAAATAAAGCTCTATTAATGCAACAGTTCAGTCTTCTGTCATGCAGTACTTCAGAATTAAAGAATAATTAATAATAAACAGCAATAGGTTTAAAGGTACACTGTACAAACAAAACTTTTAACCAACAGTTCTTTATACTGGTTAATTTTGTATGAAAACAGCATCCATTTTGTGAGTCTGTCCCAGTGAAGATGCCATACTTTGCGTGGTCTTTGCACCACCTGCTGGTGATCATGTAACAAGACAGGATGATTTTCTTTCTTTCTTAAATAAAGTTAAAAAAATAAAATAAAAAAAAAGATGTAAAAAATGGCCACATTCTGACAGTAACATACCGTTGTTTTTTGTTTTGTTTTTTTTTCTTCATTAAAGCAGTAAAATCCCGTAGAAAACAATGCATTCTGGGTAATATTTGTTGTTTTTCGAGAAAGTAGTCTTATAAATATACATATATGTGTGATATTTGTGTTACGTCCCCGGACGTATAAATATTATTATTGTTTTCCTTAAATTTATTTTACTGTGGTTTATAAAATAGGAGGCGTGGTTAAATGCCCTGTGTTCTTGCATGCGGTGTGTTTTTTTCTATCTCTCCCTCCCTCCCTCACTTTCCTCCCTCCCTCCCTCATTTCGTTTTTTTTCTCTCAGCAGTGGTGAAAATAATTATTCATACTGCCCCATACAGAAATCTGATATTTGGCCATATATATATATATATATATATAACCATAGTTAATATATGTGAATATATATATGCACAGAATTCCATTGTTTGTTGGAGACATATATGATAAAGTAAATGTACAAACATGTGGATAACTTTTTTTTTTTTAAGTCACTTTTTTAATTAAAAGTGTAGGCTACTTCCAAATAAAATAATAGCCCATTAAAGGCCACTAAAGTCTACTTAAAAATAATACACTTTCATGAATGTTTCTTAACACACTTAAGTGCACTTTTTATAAATTGTTACATCCATCAGGACGTATAAGTTTTTTTATTTATTTTGATTTGTGTACAATTGTATTTTCTGTATGTACTCTGTGCACTTTGAAATTGTATCTAAGTTTAACTTAAATTTGCATTTAAAATAATTCAGTATTGCTTTAAAAAAGTCAATTTATGTTCCATTTAGGCTGAG